TAATCAAACGTCAACCTGGCCAACAGCTCACAGATGGATTTGAACGAGCCCATCTCCACCGCCTCCGTGTAATGTACAAATCCAGTCTCCTCCGACGCTCTGTTCCGTCATCATGTTCTTCCGAGGTACAAAGCCTTTCCTGAGCACTCCAGCCTTCCTCCAGTGGTTTCCTTCAAATTTCTAAGTTTCATTTTGCGATAAATTCCTTGAAAGGGGTAGCCGCAAAATCCATAAATCCGTAAATCAGCTCGATGATTTTTTCTTTTCTTAATCATGAGAAACGGAGCCGATAGTTTCATTTACTGCAATGTTACCGCTTATTGACGGACCTTTGTCAGTTCCTCCCATAACCCTCTTACCTTCAAGCTAGCCTGGTTTCGTCCAAGACCTTGTGAGCTACTGTGCCTTTGCAACTGTGACAAAAATGAGAGCCAGAAAAGCAAAACATTGAAAAATAGCCAGCCTATCATCAAAAATTATCAAGCAATTTGCTGCATTCTCAGAAAGTTGGACAATCTGCTACTTACCTCGAACGAATAGTGATGTAGACGAGGAACCAATTACCAATCAAGCCGATACTAGGAACAATAACATAGAATAACTGATAATATACAGAAATGTCCTCAGCAGCGGACATAATTGATTTAGAATCTGGCGATATACTGTTCTACTGCACAAGGATGAAGTGTAGCAAGAACGACTCAAATAGAGCCGATTAGTTTTGGATTGCTACTCTTATTATAGCAGTTTCGAACACTCGTTGAGAATGCTTATGTTGATATCTTATCCACAGACAGAATATAAAATAGTTTCATCTGTAACATCCAGTGCGGAATAGATTGGGGCCTGATGTTTGACTCCTACAGTTTTTGCAACGGCGTAACGGAAACGTGAAGCAGTTTAGACAGCTATTCTAATCACACTATAAATTATAACACAACTCTTCATTCTACTAACCATCAATCTACCGAGAGGGAGGAAGAAAAACATACATAACTACTGGCTGAGTTAGTGATGTCAAGATTTGAACACAAATGTGCATGTTGAAACAGATGACGGACTTCCTAATTCTGTGACATATTCTGAAGAACTACACACGCACATATTTGCTTATAACTCGTTACGGGGCAAACGAGATCACGCAATGATTGCAAAAGTGGCACGTCATGGCATTTCATATATCTGCTTCTTCAGATTGTCACTTGAAACGACAGAAATTTGATTCACCTTAGGCAAGCTATGTATTGACCGGTATGAAATGCTGCGCGCTTTTGTGACGTTGTTTCTGTGCGAAAACATATTTGTTCACAATGCATGTCTAGATATTCTACAGTTCTCTGGCACAAAGTAAGATATGTTAGGCATCAAGGAACGATGACTTTTCGGTTTAAAATTTTCGTTGGATCACAAGGAAACCATTGTTCGTTTACGAATGAGCTTATGATACGCCTTCAAACGAGGAACAGCACTCAGTGATTCGCATCGTATAGTGTACAAAACATTCAACAGCGAACGCTCAATCTTCGAGGCAGTTATAGCTATAAGTTCTTCGCTTCCAAGACTAGGGTAACTACCTTGAGGACGAGGAGCATGCATACCGAATAAGCTGTAGATAACAAAGTACTGAAAGGAAACCGTTGAATCAAGCCCTACTAAACTGCACAGAAACTTGCACAAAGGTTTGACTGCGCCCACAGTAAAGTACGAAGGCTGACTGGAAAGGCCACTCGGTGCGTAGAATGCTATTTCCTGAGCAGAGCGAGCAAACACTGGGCGTCCTGTGATAGAAATCTGCTTGACAGCCCCAAGAGAAATGGTGTTTTCATCATCATTGCATGTTCATTTGATAACGGGATATGGCGTGACAGCAGATGGGCGACCGAGGTCCACTTTAAATTCGGACGTTCATTAAACAGAAGGTCGTGCTTTCATGTGCTGAAACAGTACGGGACTGATTTAGATTGAAGCGGGTTAACACATTGACGACAACGCGAGTTTTGGCTTTTTTGGCCACGTGGGACCGCGGCGATTTTGCGGGCGCGCTCGCCTCAGGTCGTTCAAGCAGATTTTGAGTGATAAATACATAAATAATGATCAATACAAAACCAAATCAGTAAATTGTAATGAGCACAACCTACCCAGGGGTACAGTAGTGGAATTTCGATCGAAAGACATGGAATAACAATGAAAAAGCGAAATTTTCAGAACTAGCTGCAATGGACCTCAAAAGCAATTTTACGTTGATTATTCCAATCAAAACACACATATTGTCATCCCTAAGGTTCCTTATCTACTTCTACTACTATTTAAAT